CGTCCAGTAACCTGACACTTGATAGGCCGAAAGAAACCAAATCGGGTTTGAATTTTTCCCCTGACTGGATCGATCGATCGATCGAACACGATCACGTGATCTTTGCCATATGCCAAATAAGATAAAACGCAGAATGAGTAAAACTCTTAACGTTCTGATGAGATCGAGTGATTAAGTGAGGAGATGGAAAAAACTAATCAATAACCGGGGTTGAGGAGTACAATGGTGACGATTTATGATAATGGAAATTCTCACTGAATACTTCCGAGCATGTTATGACTTCTATAAGCATAGTGTCTACGTTGCATTCAAAAATGTTTACCGAAGAGGAGAATAAGCAACTCGCGAAACTATCAAGAAACTCCGTAGAAACCTTTTCTTAGTTAATCGTGCTTGTTTAATTGGAAAAATGGATGAAAGTTACGGTTCAGAGCTACATGTGAAAGAAGTGCGTGATAACGTAAGGAGACGGTCAAAAGAACATTGAGAGATAATTCGTAGGGGATTGCGTCATTCATAGAGTAAAGGAAGCATGAACCGAATATCTAAGAAGCACCGGAAAGCTGTTTCGACCTGGTTGAGTCTCATCCGTGCAGTGCGCGAATCCATCGACCCAACTGGGGATCGCGAACCCGGGACCTCACAGAAGGCAGAACGCAAGCGTACTGCCCACTCGACCACTGTACAGCTGATCAGATCGTTTTGCGTTTTTTTCATTTACACAATATAGCGCGCTTGTTGCGGGCTCGCACGTCTCTCATATGAGCACTAGCCTCCAACGGTCTGACTTGGCGGGAAACTTTAACAATCTGATTGATTGTTGCATGAGAGATATCTTCAAACAACCAAAACAACGGGGCTCATATTAAATCGTCGAAGATAACATGATTTATTTTATCACTATTTAATCACATGTATATGGCTGCTACCTGGTAAAGATTGAGCACAACACTGTTTAGAACATGATGTACACGAAAACTACGCAACACGATACACGTTCTGTTATGGATATTTGCTAAATAATAAACGAGTTTTTTCAGTTCCTTTTAGAGTGTTGTCGTTGTTTCATGTTCCATGTTAATGTTCCATGCACCTAACTAACTAATCAACTAACTGAGTCTCCCTCTCCCACTTTGAACACAACCGGAATCAGGAGTCGGTTTCGTACGTTTTGCAAACGAACGGGACGCTCTGGCAGCGTTGGATTCAATCAAAACAAATCCAATTATCCTGCCCGAATGCACGGAACCGGTTGAGGCTAAATTCGCCGACAAGCACAATCCGGACACCCGACGCCGTCGTTATCCGGCCACTGCATCCGTTCTTCAAGCTTCCAGTATGAGCAATTTACTTGGCTATCCTCTAGCACTCAGTCATCCGGGGGCACAAGTTGCAAGCACTGATCCTCTAGCTGCCCTGATCAATGGCAGTTTGTCAGTTCACCATCATCATCAACAAACCACCGCAGCCGCACAGCGTCTTGCTCAAGGCCTGCTGGCTACCCCAGTCACAGGAAAGCTGACCAGTGCGGTGAGTTCGAACACGAATAACCCGCTGGCAGTCGGACCCGATTTTACCGGACTCAGTACGAACCCCGGGACAACCCCAGGTGGGGCAGATTCCCATCTGAACGCCTTCGCGGCAGCCGCTGTGGCTGCAGCTGCTCTCCTGGGCGGAGGTGCCGGTGCAAATGCGAATTCGGTGCGTTCAAATCCGGTCAATCCGGCCGCCGGACCAGCCGGTGCGGGACATTTCAATCCGATTTCACTGAATACAGCCGGTCTGTTCTCGACTGCTTCTCTCTCTTTGATGACCAATCCGACAATAAGTATGGCCACTGGGGCTGCCGCAGCAACCGATCCTGCACTCCTCGATCCCAGGTTTGTTGATTGGAATTTGTGAACGGATTGCTTCATCTTTTGTTTGTTTTTCTATTGTGATTGATTTCGGTTGCCAATTTCTCGCTGATCCGTCCAGCAAGTCTGTTTAGCTATCGTACTCTTAGATGCTCACACAGTTCTTTTTCCCAGTCCACTCTGCATTCATCAGTAGGTGAAGTGTATTTCATCAGTGCGAGTGGTATACTCCCCTCCCCCCCGGGAGTATATGTTTCAAGTTCGACAAACCTGATCATGGAAAATCCGGAGTCCCATGGGTTCATGGGCTCTTCTTCCAACACAGTTGGTCATTGATTAGTCGACAGTGCAACACACTGGTATCATCTTCCATGTGTCTGTTGTTTAGAGAGTTTTAGAGAACCGGGTATATTTTGCACACACACACACACACACACACATTCACTTATGAAATATGCTCCTACAGACCGTGCTGTCAGAGAACCAAAAGAATACGATCGCAAGATTTTGCACAGTCCAAGCGCATTATCAAGAGTCGTATCCTTGCCAAATTCTACAGGTACGAATGGAAGATTTTACGAGTTAACGGTCGGCCTTGGTGAACAGATCACTGACTGATTGATTTTCAATCGAAACGGGTTTGCAAAACCGGCATTTGTTTGGAATAATGTGTTTTCTTTCCGATGAGCGATTTATCGTCTAACCTCCATTTTAGAGATGTTAATGATTCCAAATGGTGATAATATAAACTCCTTTGGAGTTCTGTTGGACAAAAGGTTGAGATACTCTCGTATCGTAAACTGGCGCGGAAATATGCCTAGGAAATGATTAATTTCATTGTCCGTAACAGTTTGATACTCTCGAAATGACATTCAAACCGCAGAAAAGCAACGTGATGTGTGTTTGAAACCCCCACTTCACTCCACTCCACTCCCACCCCACCCCACCCCCAGTATCTGGGCTAGTTACTGACGGAGCTAGGTGTCGGTTTGGGGACCAATAGAAACGCTTGGGTGGGGGGGGGGTCCTCTAGTCCGATATTGTGACAAGTATCTTCACACAGGCACAGAAGCATGCACACACACACAGAGGTGCGTCGTGGGGCTGATGAAATTGATACGGCAATCAAATCGGATCCTGTTGTGTATTCATGTGTAATAGTACAGTTAACACATTCATTAGCGAGATTACTTCTCTGTCATTGTCACTTGGACTTCTTTTAGAAAACCCGTCACACAGACTGTAAAACGCAGTGGGTTTCAAACTGGTTGATACGAACCCTGTGTTTTGATTTCGATTAAACCAACCAACACGGACATTTTCATAAGCTGAATTTGAAAGCTATTCGACGGGAAAATAAAAACAAACGTCATCGATCAAATCATTTTGTAACAGACAGACAGACAGATTTAAATATTATATTGCAATGACCAGTATAACGCATCTTACCAGTGAAGCCCCCCTAAATGAAAATAACACAATTAATATATTCTCGGTTGGGATCACCGGAAATCTAATTCGTTGATTCTGTGTTTGAAGGGACCAAATGTGATGAAGATGGAGCGTTCCACAATACCGCCGCTATTTCAAAAGGGAAACCAGTGGTGTAACATTCAGCAATTTATATACGTGCACTGCGTATCTCTGCTCGCGTTACATTACAAGGCTATGATCACCTATATGATCGGTAGCGCTAGACTGCTCAAGCTCGCTGCGAAGATTGTAACCAATCTTTATAATTCTTTTTTGTATGTCAACAGAATGGACAGTATATTACACTTACTAAATCTTGATAAACCTCTCCAAATGTTATGACTATTTTTAGATTTATTTTATATAACCATATATGCACAATAGTTTAACTTTCCACAATAAACGTCATTAAGAAAGAAACGTCCTGGAGTTAGAAAATAGATTATTGAACTACTACCGTTTCGTAGGCTTAAATATTCACGGGTTTGTGCGATTTCACGCTGGTGACCGGGTCTCACGACCTCGGGTGAAACTGCAGTAGCAAGACACGTCGGAATTTTCCCAGACCCAGGTAACTAAACGAACAAAAAGGTAATCGCTAGGCGACGGATAATGTGCTAAAGATTGAATGGAAGAGACGGGTCAGCATCCAAATGAATCACATTGTACTCAACACGAGTGATTAGAAATGCTGTAATTTTTTCAAAAAAAACACGCACCACAATCTTAGTAACGGGAACATATGGCTCAGCTAAAAGCAGGAATGAAATGTATGGCATATTGGGAAACTCCTGTCCGTATGTAATTCATCTGCGTTCTCTAATCCCGTCCATATTCAATACGGGTTGAAATATCCCGAATTTGGACACTTATGTGTAGGTTAGGTTGGAGAAAGATATGGTACTTGTGAGATAACTGAAGTCCTACTGCCACCATGTGGGTACGATGGTGTTTTATGGATCGAAACTGGTTGATTAATGCACCATATTGTGACTTCGATCACGATGAAAACTCTCGCAAAACCACTTGAGGTGAGTGACAGCTATGAGTTGTACTCAGTTCCGGTTGCGTGAGTGTGTGCACGCTCGTCAAGGTGTATAGCTCAAGAACTTCACAGTCCGCTGTTCAGCGCATTCCAACCACTTTCAGCGTTCCATTTCAGCTTTCCCCATGTCATCCAGCCCCGGGGTGGCCAGGGAGGGAGTTCAGGGGCTGAGCAACTTCTGATTGTACATTGGTGGTGAATCACTATAGACCGGAATTGAAGTTTGGAGCGTGAAAGAGAACCCGCGTACTTTATATTTCACAATTGAAGTTGCTAACACTTAATTTTCCTTCACATCCTAGATTGGTGTGGTTGACAATAAAGCGACACGTTTGTTCAAGCTTTCTCCCTCTCACTCTCTTGTGATGAGAATAGGCGAGTGAATGATAGACAGACAGACAGACACACACACAGACTCATATGGGTGGTCATATCCAGGATTAAGCACGCACACACACACACACACACACGCACACAGACGCTTTATATTCGAATGAAATGTGCATGTGTATACAGTCCGGAAAAGCATATGTTTTACGAGGTAGAAAAAATTTTGCATCCTTAGGATAGGAGTGAAGCTATCCCAATGATGTTGCGGTGAAAGTCATCTTGTTGCAAGGTGTTCCATTTCGGACGGCATTCTTTCACGGTCGCCAAACACGCATGAGCACGATAGGCGACCAACATAGGCATATGACACGTGATCAACTAAGGGATCCGGACTGGATGAGGATTGAGCCTGCCAATCATCACGACCCCAACGGAACAGTTCGTCAATCAATCAATCAATCAATCAATCAATCAATCAATCAATCAATCAATCAATCAATCAAAGGCGACAGTGATATTTCGCGTGTGTAAATCAATACAACGTTACTGCACCATCTTTGTTAGTTGGTTCAATTAAATTCAGCTTGCGCAGAACCATGTGTGGCTCCGGGTCAATCGGGAGCTCCATTCGTCCTATTTGATGCCAAATTCTGTGATTTCCAACAACGTGAATACATAGGGTTTGTTCGAAAGGCGGAATATATGGTGCAGTGACATCTTAGTTAGGTAAATATGTCCACGCTACATAGATAGAGATCGCATGCTTACGTTCTGCCCATAAGGTCCCGGGTTCGATCCCCAGTTGGGTCGATGGATTCGCTCACTGCAGCTGATGAAATCCAATCAGGTCAAAACAACTGTTCAACGGTGCTTCCTAGCTTTTCAGTTCACGCTTCATTTGACATTTGACACGACAAATTTGCCCTTTGAAATCATTCAAATTGTTTGAAGAAACACGGAAGACCAGCAATTATCCAAGACCCTTTTGAAAGTCATGATACTGGTGCTTCTTACAGCCTCATCGGGTAATTTGTTACACTTTCGTACTGTACGACTTGTAAAAACATCTGGATGCGCATATTCAGTCTAACTAGGCCACCGTGCATTCCGCACTATGTTGCATGATATCACTGGGGCGGATACAGAGGAAAAGAATTCTGAATTGTTTATTACCTTAAAAGTCTGGATCAGATTCTCGGGATTCCCATTATTTTAAACTAGCACAGATTGAAATCTTCCAGTCTTCGCTCACAACTCTTGCCTCTTCGAACCCCTACTATTCTAGTGGTCAGGCATACCACCTGCCTAGTCGAGAGATTCAATATCTTTGCGGAAATAAGGTGTCCAAGCTGGAACAGAATATTCCACCGGTGGCCTAACTATATAGCCTTAGATCAGAGGGACGAGAACCTCTGGTTTCCCAACACGTAACCGTCGGGTAAAACCGAAAGAGTTCTTCTGTTCGAGCTATCCTAACTGACATTACCGTGTGATGGTTTGAAGTTATACGAAATCGTTACTCCCAGTTCGATCTGTTTTCTAAAATCTACCTCATCCTGATTATCTTGTTCGATCTCACCGGTGGGAAGGTAGATCCCACATTGTTTCTTTCCATTTTACTACCTTTTATTGAATATACAAAGATACGATTTTCAGGAAAGAGGGAAGCGACCAATCAAAGAGCTGTCATTCAACACACAAAGGGGAAAGTCAGGCAGTGGTGTTGGGAATCGAACACACACACACATTCACGGGGTGATAATTTGGTAACATTACCACCGGACAACCTGATCAGATCCTGGTACATTCTAGGTCTCACGAACTTGAATTCATTCATGAGTATCAATCACAGGCTGTTGAGGTCCAGTGGCAATACGTTTACGACGAACATTTGGAACAATAGTAGGTCTAACACGGACCAACTGGGGCATACCGNCGGACCAACTGGGGCATACCGGTTTCTACCTTGATTGGAAAAGTGCAGTTTTCCAGGAAACTATTAAAAACCACTATCCTACCTTTCCATTAATTCCTAGGATTTCAATCTTCAGATTTAATCCATGGTTCTTGGTGGAGCTGAAGGTTCTGCTAAGGTCCAGATAACCGACCCCAAAATGCTGAACTTCATCTAAACGACGCGTGATAACGTCAAGGAGTGCTGTTGGATTCCGCCAGAATAACTTTCGATTGATAGAGTTGCATATGGTACTGGATTTAAAAGGTCATACTCTACAAAATATGCACGAATATACTTAGGTCTTTGCACCAAACCGATGCCAGACTTACAAGTCAGTAGTTTTTCATCTTCTTCTGTTTAGATCGAGATTTGTGCAGAGGAGTTAGGGTAGCTTTTTTCAATTTCTCGGTATCTCTCATTTATGGCGAAATGCATGAAACGGATTGGTCAACGATCCCTGAAGTTATCTCCTCAAGAATGGGGACAAAGACAGGGAGAATGCCTATTCGGTTCCAATCCGTTGAACAAGTTCAGTGAAACCACCTGTTTTGTGGCATTGTCGGGTGTGACTGTTGCCTTCGTAAACTGTCATCATCCTGGCATATCTGTAAATTGTTTTGAAAAACGCAAGATATGTATGCTCCTTGCTTTTCTCACTCACTCACTCACTCTGAAAGTTGTCCATTCGCTTCTTCCACCGACCAAAATAAGCTCGGATCAAATGTTCCTTACAAATCAAAGCAAAAAGTGAGATTACTCACACTTCCTGCACCGCATCTCATCCCGGTACAGAGTTGCAGAGGAATTTCGCATATTGCCTCTAACTTTTTTTATTACGCACCAGTGTGTGATGAACAGCAGGCGGGGTGGACCCCATAGTCACGAAGGCCTATTGTTCAGTGACGGTAACCGGTAACCTTAGGCCCCGGGACTTGGAGTGGCGAAACACATAAGGTCCCGCTAGGTCAGGTGTGGTATTGAACCGGACGACAGCAAAGCTGTCTGCCACCAAAGTTGGGTGGCGCTGGTGGGGCTCGAACCTCGAACCAGAGGATCCACAGCACACTAGTGACAACGACCAAACCATTGCGCCATCACTACCCTGAAACAGAATACAGGGCGGGAGCAGAGCCGTAGTTCAAATCTCCTCATTAAGCCTAACACTACCGGTCACGGCCGTACATCCTGTTCTCCTGGCTTGAACAGAAAGCCTCAAAAGCCAACTGCATACTATCAGAGTATCTTACGGGTAGGCACCCGGGTCAGGGAGGGAACCATTGTTTTTGGATATTTCTAGTCATGCTCTTACTGACAGTATGGTGGAAAAGATACAGTATGACATTCCATGCATGGTTCAAGTTAAAGTCATTAACCGGAGTCGGAGGGCTGAGGATGTGTGCCAGTGTGTGTGTGTGTGTTTAGGAATGTTTACTGTTTCAGTTGATGCGACCTTTCTCCACTTGAGTCAAGGAACACGTCATGTTCTGTCTTAGTTTTCACACCAGACCAAAGCAGTTGAAGCCCTTGGACCAGTCATTTTTGGGCACAGGTTATGACATAGTGAGCGAATGGTAATCGCCTCAGTTCTGTCTAGTGTCCAAACGCGAGTCACCTTCGATCGATTGAATGCGATGCGATAAACAACATCGAAAGCTTTCCTCGGATCGATCTTGTGTCCGGTGTAGACTAGATGATTCACAATCGAGCTTGAGATGCAGTCGGTCCTTTTCTGACTTAACGATCGCGATAGATGCTCCTTAACTGATTGATACAAAGGCCTTAAAGTACGACCTATGTAACATGGGCCACAGACGCACTTGACAGAATAAATTATCATGGATGAGGTCAGTTTTGGTAGTTTGTCTTTCCTTTGCATTCACATCACCGGTGCCGTAGAGAATACCACTGTGGGCTTCGCGGCAGGAAAAGTGGAAGTTACAACCGCTCTCAGTGACTGTACTACGCTTTGTGTGTGTGTGTGTGTGAGTGAGTCCCCCTTAAACTGAACCCTTATAAATAGTTATTTCTTGGGGACACAAACGTAGCCTTCTTTTTCCGGATAACCAGTGTCCTGCAGCGTTTGGCGGATGAAGCGTGCTAGTTCCTTATCCAATTTGTCTGCTGAGCACACCATACCCACACACCTCCATACATATCCTCTGTCCTCAACTGTGATTAATGACCTAAAAGACAGCTGATGACTGTCATTCCATACACATTTTTTCCATCATACGATATGTAAGAGCATGACTAGGAATATCCGAAAACAATTGTTCGCTCACCGACTCGTTTTATCAATGCTCTCGTGGGAATATTCAAAAGTCTCCTAAATTACTGCAGTTCTGACTGCTTATTGGTTTTTGCTACTTCCGTTCCCGTTCCATGTCTGATACGCAATGACTCTATATGGATAGCAACCGAATAAATGAATGATTTTCATCGATCAAATCCATTCGTTGTTCGGCAATCGGAATGATTACGGTTGGGGTTCAATTCTACACACACACACACACAGACACACCCTTCGGCACCCACACACACATACAAGCATACCAAACG